TGTGAAGCGCTTTGCGACATCTCAAAGTGGGCAATAAATCAAAGGCAAGGCTGATTATGATATTATTACTGTGTGTGTGAGAGCAGACCGGGATCGCGGGTGAGGACACCAGCTCCAACAGCAAATTACCGCTGAAATATTAGATTGCTTTTATTTTACAAGGTTATAAATATTGGAGGAAGGACCGGCTGTGACACCAGCCTTGTTAAAGGCAAAGCATCTCTTTCAATAAGAGTGGCCTCGGCCCCCAATCGGTGAGAATGGCTCTCTAGTGTATAAATACCCCCCCGCCCCCTCTCCCCCCCCACAACGGGTGTAGAAATATGGCCCTCCATATTCATATATTTTATATAACCTCCGCCGCGTATATAAACCTACCCCCCCTTTGAATACACCCATACATAAACACATTCCCCGCGTATATAACCCCCACTTTGCGCATATGTAAATCAACCATCTGCATGTATACATACGACCCTCCCCGCCCCCCCCCCACAGCTGTATAAACTCGACCCCCCCCTCCCACAGCTGTATAAACTCGACCCCCCCCACCCACAGCTGTATAAACTCGATCCCCCCCCACCCACAGCTGTATAAACTGGACCCCCCCCACGTGTGTGCAGTTGCCCGGTGTCAGACTGTTGCAGTGAGTGGTGTGGGTGTCAGTGTGACTCCCACCTCTCTCCTGGCCATCAGCGGAGCGGATCGCTGGGCTGTATTGCTGAAGGTAAAGGGAGATGACAGTGGAGGTAACCACTGGTGAGTCGGTCAGTGAGGACCGTTTCTGGCTCTTCATGTCACCGGCCTGTCTCTGTCTGTCTGTCTGTCTGTCTGTCTGTCTGTCTGTCTGTCTGTCTGTCTGTCTGTCTGTCTCACACACACACAGCCCACTTTGAGCTCTGCTTATTACAGAATACAAAGAAATCTCATTAAAAATCATTATTGAATTAATCCTTCATGTTTGCTTTTCTCTCCGCGAATAATAGGGAAGCCTTAATTTCTGCTGAGACACATGGGACGGAGACACGATAACCTTGATTTACACACACACACACACCCTCAGCCACACACACACACACACACCCTCAGCCACACACACACACACCCTCAGCCACACACACACACACACACACCCTCAGCCACACACACACACACACCCTCAGCCACACACACACACACACACTCAGCCACACACACACACACACCCTCAGCCACACACACACACACACTCAGCCACACACACACACACACACTCAGCCACACACACACACACCCTCAGCCACACACACACACACCACACACACACACACCCTCAGCCACACACACACCCTCAGCCACACACACACACACACACACCCTCAGCCACACACACACACCCTCAGCCACACACACACACACACACCCTCAGCCACACACACACACACACCCTCAGCCACA